GTTTCTAAGTCTAGAATTCATGTTTATCCTTTGCAAATATAATTCTTTCCTAAGCATTTAAATGCTACAACGAAATAATGAAACTATCACATTTGGAGTCGATGAAAGCATTCTCATACCTTCCTTGCCAAGGACAGCAAAATCTCATCAGAGAACATTTTGAAGTCTGTGTATTTCCCTAAAGCTCGCCGGTAGATGTTGTTATTGAGAATTGTGTAATGAACAATGGCGCCTCTCTCATCCCCAAACCTTTTGGGGACTTCGCTCAGCATCTGCTGGAGATTGATGCTGGGGAAGGACGAGAAATCTTTCGCAATCTGTGGTTCCTTGGTTGGGCATGAAAGCACTTTTTGCCAGGCCCGAGCATCCTCTTCTGGGCACGCGCAGTACTCGTGGTACACTGGACCTAGGAAGGGCAAACGTGGGCGAGGGTAAGTCACAAAGGATGGCTGCAACATCATGGAAACCTTGCTTCGAGAACGATATCACTAGATGAAGCTGCTGCTTCCGCAACCTATCCTCCTCTGCCTAGACACTGCAGAAGGCAGCGTTCTCAGACCTCTTACCCTTCTCCACAGAACATACCACATCAAAAGGGCCGCCTTGGCCTCCTTCGAGGGATTCAAATCACGTCTTTTCAAAGGTCTTTGAACTTGGGGTAACAAAGAGGAGTGTGAATGGGTAAGAGGAAGTCCGTAAGGGGAAAGGTGTAAGGTTTCCCAAGGAGCTAGATCCTCACAGGGGAGCCCTTGCAAAGAAACGAAGAATGAGTAGGTACATTATCAGGGCAGAAAATTTTGCTGGGTGTAACTTTTGCATCTGTTACCAACCTAGGTCTTGCTAGAGGCACCTTTTAAGAAAAACAAAAACAGAGATTAAGTGAAAGTGAAGGAGGAAGATTTTACTTTGGCTGATAAGGCTTTTTAGCAAGCTGGGACTCGCAAGGCCAGCACTGGCAATAGGGTGGTCTGCAGTTTTATATGTATACATCAAGATGCCTTGGGGGAGGGTTCGAATTTTTGTCCAGGAAGTGGCTTATTGGACCCCTCTATTCTAAATGTTGTCATTCAGTCTGGTGATGTATTTCTGATGATTTTGATGTTGTTCTTTGAGCAAAATTTTTTGTTCTGGGGTCCACGGTAGGCTGCTACTGTCCTTTCTGCATGTGGTCAGCAGGTCTGATCTGGTTGTAATCAATACTCGCTTGCTTGGTTGGATACTTTCCCAGAAGGGCTCAAAAGAAACAGGCGATCAGGAGGGAAAGCACAGATTAATTATAGATTATAGATGAGGTTTCAACATACTGTGACATCATTTCTTATACCCTAACGGTAGAATTATTGGGCACTTTGGAATTTATAGGGCTAATTGGAGAGATGGTCTCATGTCCTTTTTCTTAACAATTCAGTTTTCAATTTTTTAAAATAAATCATCATAATGAGTCCCAGTGATTAATTACCCTGCATCCTTCTAACAAATCTATCAGGATGATCTCTTTGTAGTCCTCCCCAAACAGTCTCCATAACCTTCAAAGTTTCCTCTCCGCCTTTTATTTAACTGGCCCAGATCCCTTCAGAAACCACTGTTTGGAGGAGACCTTTTGTGAAGGCACTGGTGACATCGTGGGTACGTGTTGGGCTATTAACTGCACGGTGGATGGTTCCAACCCACCAGACACTCTGATAGAGAAAGAGAAGGCTGTCTGCTCTTGTCAATATTTATCATATATCCAGTTGCTATGAGCCAGAATGGAATTGATGGCAGTGGGTTAAAGAGTCTAAGACAACTATATTACTGAGAGAAATTATCTGCACCATTCACTGATCCCAGAGGCATACTTAAAGACATTTTTAAAAAAGTTAGAACACACACTTTATTGTTTTAGATGGTTGAAGACTTCTTTGACTTTCCTTGTTTACTAGTAACTATTTCTTTTGTTTTTATTTTATTGGTCATTTAATTGGGGTGCTCTTACAAGTCTTATAACAATCCATCATTCAATTGTATTAAGCACATTTGTCCACCAACATTTCCAAAACATTTTCTTTCTACTTGAGTGCTTGGTATCAGCTCTTTTTTCCCTCCTCGCCCACCCTCGTGAATCCTTGATCAAAAACAATATTATTGTTGTTATTTCATGTCTTACACGGTCCATTGTCTCCCTTCACCCACTTTTCTGTTATCCACCCCCCTGGGAGTGGGCTATATATATATATATATATATATCCAGCCTTGTGATGGGTTTAAAGACATTTTGCTTGGAATAAACAAGATGCATGCATGAACTAGAACCCGAGAAGTAATCCTCTTTGACTTACCCTTCCTTTTACCATGCTATGCTCCATTAACAAGCACCACACACAAGGAGCTCTTTCTGTTCCTGATGGGAACAAGGGATAGGTTCTAGGATTATCCAGATGGGGATGGCCTGCCTTCAATTATTAAGTAGGATAATGTAAGTGAACTTAAATTCTAAAGCACTTGGTTTGTGAAAGGCTGCTGCCCACAGCGAAAGTCCAAACTCTCTCTCAAGTCTTGGCACAAAATCAGACACCTCTGAGTTCTTCGCGTTACTTCTCCAGTGCTTGCTGGCCACTAAGCCAACAAGATGGCTATTCTTAGACAAGGCCAGGAAAAGCGAGTTTGTCTTCAGGCGAATGCAATTGAAAGAAGTAGGCTACAAACAAGTACTCACACAAAGAACTAGGAAACTTGCTCACGATGATTTACTGAAAGTAGCCTGTCCTTTAACCTTTTAAAATCTGTAATTATATACCTACTCCAGTCATGGTTCCTGTTCTCCCACCCCCCAAGCCCCATCCTGTAGTCCCATCTGTAACAGTGATGAAGTGACCTTTGCTCTCCACTGTATGTAACAAACACTGTAATTGGTTCGTTGGATTTCACTGGGCTCTGTACTGTGTACACGCTTATGGTTTCTCTCACTCGGATGATTGTTTTTGTGCTTTCTGAGGCTTAATAAAAGCCCTCTTTAGACTACTGTTTCATCTGCGGTCTTTTCCCTTAGCACACAAGCAATTATTTCAGAGTCCTATGCTTTTACTTTCCCTACATCTTTTACGACCCTAGACAACCGGCTATCACGTGTATACCCACTGTAGTTGAATAGATTCTGATTTGTGGCAATGCTACAGCACATAAGGCACTATGGGGATACTGCCAGGTTACGTTAGACTGCTAACAGCAATGCCAATTGTTCAAATTCACCAGCAAACCCAACTGCTGTTCTGAAGTAGAATGATGGAGCTATATCCTATAAGGCCACTCTGAGTTGGGAGAGATGCAATAGCAGTGAGTTGTGGGGTGATGGGAAAATGCAGAACTGCTCCATAGGGCTTTCCATGCTGCACATCTTCACAGGAGACTGCCTCATCTCTCTCCCTTGGAGCAGCAGGTAGGTTGAACCTCCAACACTTTAGCCCAATGTGCCACCAAGGCTCCTTATCATGTGTATAAATTCAGAAGCCAAACTCACTGTCATTGAGCTAATTCCGATTCATGTGGACCCTATAAAGGGCTTCCAAGGCTGTAAATCTTTATGAGAAGAGATAGGCTCAACTTTCAGCCTCATTTCCCCTCCAAGGGAACAGCTGGTGAGTTTGAGCCACTGACTTTGAGGTTAGCAGTCCAATGCTTACCTGGCAGCACACCAGGGCCCCCTGTCTAAGACGTACAATCTCACTGCCATCAAGTCCCTGCCGACTCGCAGCAGCCTTATGGGCAGAGTGAATCTGGTCTTCCTCCTGCAGATCCGCTGCTGAGTTCCAATCGACACGGATGTGCTGTGAGGCGTACATTGTTGATAAATGTAAACCAATTTACCTCTGTGAAACCCAGTTCATATTAAAATGGATGGCCTACTTCTGTTTCCAGAGGACTCTTCTTATCCACACACGTAAAAATTCCTGATCCCCAAATTAATCTGCCAGCTCTCTACCACCCAAATGGCTGTTTCAAAGTGCAGACCTAAACAAACCCATTAACCTGTGATTGGCTGAGACAGACTTAGACTTCCTTCACCTGAATTTCTGGGGGATGGAGGGCAGGAACTTCCCTATCTTATTCAAGTAAGCTCAATAGTCAATAACTTCTTCACCATCATGGAAACCTGTACTCTTTAAGCAAAGGTTTGGAGGCTCTGTGACTCCCCCTTTCTCTAGGTCATAGGTGCCCAGACTTATTTGACCTGCCGTCCCCTTTTCAGAAAAAAATTACTCAGGCTTCCGCAGGCAATTAAACACATTTGTCCTATAATCCAGGATAAAGTATAGGCATCTGCTTTTGCAGGCCCCTGGATTGTTCCAGTGTCCTCCAGAGGGCAGCATCACCCGCTTTGGGAACCACTGATCTAGATGCAGCTTCCTTCTTCCGTGAAGGAGCATTTCTCCAATTTGCCAGTTATTATTTTTTTAAGCCTACAGCAATCAAATATTTTGTTGTTATTTTAAATGACTACACGATTTTATTCCTAACACCTTTTAACAAGGAAAAGACTAAAAATCACCGTCATTGAGTGGATGCTGACTCACAGGGACACTGTGGAACGGGGTAGAACTGCCCCTGTGCGCCCAGTCTTCCTCCCAAAGAGTGGCTGTTGGTTTTGAACTGCTGACCTTAAGAATCGAAGCCCAACTGCTAACCTCTACACCACTAGGGGTCCTACAGGGAAAAGGGGAAACATGATAATTTCCAAGCATTACCATATAGTAGGGGTGGAGATTTTTTTTTTTCTTTTTTAAGGGGAGAGTGCGAACGCAGTCCCCCACTACCACAAATTATGCAGTCGAGTTTCCCACATTTGGGGAAATCGCAGGGGTCAGCACATCCGGAGTGCAATGGATAAGCCTCGCCCTGGGAAAACCATCTTCGTGATCATGGTATCTCCCCTGCCAGGTAAGTATGGGGTGGAGATTTTTAAGGAGAGGGTTTGGCGTGGGGTGGGGTGTTGTTCCTCTGAATCCTTAAAATCACCCATCAATATGCCTCTATTGGTAAACCAGCAGTTTTATTTTATGAGGCAAGATATGAGCGTAAAATTCTCCTGAAGACTCATGTTTTAAAAGAATAGATGTAAAATTTATATCTTGTCCTAAAAGATATCCATATTTGCTTTAATATAAAAATGTTTGTCCCTTTGGCGGTAGTTGGGCATGGGGTGGCACAGAGGCACAGACTCTTCCTGGTGGCCACTGAGCCAGAGACTGGTGAGCCTGGCATGAGGAAGCCTTCTGGAAGAAGCTTCTAGAAATCTGAGATGTTGGAAACATTCCCTGTGCCTGGGATTCAGTATTATATGGTTCACTAAAATCTATTGTGGCTGGCCTTGGGTGTATTTCATCAGTCAGTAGATAGGTGGTTTATGTATTGGGCTGCTAACAGCAAGGTTAGCAGTTCAAAACCATCTGTCACTCCTCAGGGGATGATGAAGCTTCCTACTCCTGTAGGAGTTTACGATCTTGGAAACCCACAAGGGTAGTTCTACTGGGAATTGAGTTGATAGCATGGAGTTTGGTTTTTGAGAGTTGTGCATCTGAGGAAACTATCCAAGGCCAGGGAAGGACCAGGGTGAGAACACTGCCTGTTTATACCAGCTGGACTGGAAACTGAACCCAAGGGCCTTGGGCAGAGTAGGCAGAAGAGTATTCCTTCACTAACTGTGGTGGTTTCAAACTGCTGACCTTGCAGTTAGCAGCCCAACTGTAGCCACTATAGCACCACACTAGCCTAACACGGCTATGGTCCTGAGATACAGTCAATTAACATGTCCCTTCTAGCCATAATTCCTTACAGGATATGTTATAATTCTGGACTTTAGATGCCTGAGGTATTTTATTGTGCCAACCTGGCCGATAAACACCTGTGGGGTTAATTGAAGGGTGGAGGGATAAATGGCTCGGTGAGCCTCGCCTTTCTAGTTTTAGGGTCTCTTATTTTGTGATGGTTGCACCAGGGTGCAGCTGCCTTGGCCAGTTCCCTGCTTCAGCTGGCAAGGCTCACTTCCTGCAAGATATTCCTGAGGAGAAACCACATAGACCTACCCCGATATAGCCCTGGGTGCTGGAGCAGCTTTGTGGAGACCCCTGCCAGCGCTGAGATGTTTACACATTCACTGACTTGGTTTTCCTCCTGCAGTCGGCATCATTGTGTATGTTTTGTGAGATGGAGGAGGACTTTGTGGATTGGTTTCAGACATATGGGTTCATGTTGTATTTGTTGGCTTGGGCAGTACTGGGTTGGGATGTTTTCTTGATGCACACTTAACCTTTATATAAAACTCTCTCTTATACATGAGTTTCTGTGGATTTGTTTCTCTAATGGACCCAGACTCACACAATACCCGAGGCTACAGTCCCATTTTGGAGGGCATTCCCCACTGCAGGAACAGACAGGAATAGGGTCGGATTGAGACCTGACCTTAATAAAGATCCTGAACTCAGCCACACCTTTTGTTCCCTTGAGGGCATCTTTAAGACACCACTTTAGAACAGGGTGTGAACCAAGCCACACCCTTTGTTTCCTTGGGGGCATCTTTGACTTTTACCTTAATAGAGGGTGTGACTTGAGACACCATCCTGTTTTCCTTGGGTTAAGGTCCTTTTCTGTGGGGTTTGGAAGGGTAGAGGGATGAGGTGTGGGGGGAGTAGAGGTGGGGGGGATGGTGAGCTAACAACAAACCACACCTCCATCAAAGCCATTCTTATTTACTTACAGTCTTATCTACTGACGTATAAGAGAGCCATCTGGGACACAGAAAAACCTTGCTGGATCATTTGGAAGGGCTTGTCCAAGATCGCTGTCTAAATTGATGGAAGCCAGGAGACCAGGTGCACCAGAGACTATGGCTTGGAGACTCAGAGGACCAGCACCGAGACTATTTGGTACCTTCTCCTCATCTGGAGGGCTGACTTCCTGACCTCACGGAGGCAAAGGCCCAGGGGCGGTGTTGCTGCAGATCCGTGATTGCACCTCACTGTCTGCTGAGCCTGACTTCCTAATAAAAGCCCTTAATTGGGAATACTGCCTATGAGTTCTGTGTGGCCCTAGCAATGAATTATCCAACCCAGCATAGAAACAGAGTGCCGTGGAAGGACTGCTGGTATCAGGATAGGGTTATGTAGTAATCACCTACCTTTCAAAATATAAGGGGACAGGGCAACATGTTCACCACCATAAAGAACGTCTATCTTCAGCCCTTCATTGGCACTTTCGTACATCCTGTATCTCAGCAGGAATGTCCCATCATTCCTGTCCAAAGGTTTAGATACGTGAATCCGGACTACCTCTTTAGGGGAAAGAGAGTTGATTACTACTTTGAAGAGTGTTTGACCTGAAAGAAAAGAAAAAAAACCCCACATATCAGTTGTTTCATCTTAACAATTATTGGACAGGTGTGTCTATATAGAGATTACCTTTTTCTATATTAATGTACATGGAAAATTGTATACATTAGCTTGAAATATCCTTAAGGCCAAGAACAATCTGATCCATGCTTAAAAACTAAGGATATGACTCAACATTTGAGTCATGAGCCATTCAATAAAGATTTTTTGAATGGACAAAATCAATTCATAAAAAAGGCAAAGAAGAAATCAACTCTTTATCTATTATCTATAAAACTCAACCATTCCATATAGTTAAAGAAATCATGAATCCTTAGAATGATGGCACGTTAATATAACCCAGCATTCTCCTTGTAAATACACACAAGCTTTCTTTGCAAGCTATTACATTATTTAATAATACACAATTCTGAAAAAAAAAATCCGAATTTCAAGTAGATTATTGGCAGTATCAGACTACACACACAGGCTCTTTATAAATGCTAGAGGTTTACTTCTCTGAGCCTGTTTCCTCAACTTGAAATGATTCTGCTAGAGCGATCAAGCATCCCTTCTAACTCTAAAAGTCTGTGTTCTGTCCACATTCTGTGTGTTTTCTGTCCCAGGGAAATAACACCTACTTCACATAACCTTGGAAACGCTATCACAGGGGAGAAGAACTGTGTGGAGGTCTATCTCCCACATATCAGCCATTCGAAACTCTAGGGATCGCCGGAGTCAGAACTGACATGACGGCAAGTGGTCATTTGCAGTCGACTAGCTAGCTGACTTAACTAGGCTTTGAATCACTATTGTAATAAAAGTGACTGTGGCCCAGAAATAAACTTTTGGGACCTCTTTATTTAGAGTTCAAGGAAAATACCATTAAAATCCGCTCCAAACCAAGTCAGTGGGGTCCATTCTGACGCACAGCAGCTTTGTAAGGCACGCAGAACTGCCTCACAGGTTTCCCGCCACCTCTTTCGGACGCAGAGTGGCTTGTGGGTACAAACTGCTGACGTTCCAGTTAGTGGTTGAGCACGTAACCACTGTGACACCAGGGCTCCTAATTGGATTCTTAAAAACAAACAAACAAACAAAAACAAACCCATAGCTGTCCAGTCGGCTCACGCTGACAGCCAGCCTCATCTGCCTCCCACAGGGCAAAGGTGGGTTTGAACCACCAACCTTGTAATTAGCTGATTCATCTAAGCTTTGAAACTATATTGTTATGCATTTTTGGAACATCTTTTTTAATTAAGAGAGTACCGTGTCTATACGATTCAAATCGGATCCTTACTAAGCCCCAAATGCTTGTGATTAGTACCCAAAGCTTTACCCAGTGAACCACCATGGCACCTGCTCCTTAAAACCCAAACCAAACTCACTGCCATCAAGTCCATCCCAACTCACGGTGACCCCAGAGGCAAAGGAGAACTGGAGGCTGTAAATCCTTATAGGAGTAGAAAAACCTCATCTTTCTGAGCAGCTGCTAGGTTCAAATCTTATAGTTTGAAGTCCCTCTTACAACCCATTAGCTATCAGGGCTCTTGACCAGATCCTTCAAAAAGCCAATCAAACTCACTGCCTTCCAGTTGATGTCTACTTTTAGTTAGGGACCCTATAGGA